TAATAAAAGAAAAACTAATGAAAAGGGCTTGAAAACTTTGAGTTTTAACGATAAGGATAAAATAAAGGGTAAAGTGAATAGTACCATGATTGACTTTTTAGTGTTAAAATGTGGTTTTTCGTTAAAGTGAACAGTACCAAGAACTTTTCATTGAAGTTCCCTTTAATTTGCAGCCCTTTTTTTAAATTGTACCAATTTTCTTTTCAGTTATAGTTTGTACCCATACAGTAATTTCTTTTTTTTTTTGTCCATATTTTTCAAACTTTTATTTTTACACATTTTTTTTAACATTTTTTTTGTACCAATAATTTATTGCTAATGTACCCATTTGTCTTTAAAAATGCTCCACTTTGTTATATGTAAAATATACCAATTTTGTTTTTGTAAGTACCATTTGTTATGTAAAATGTACCCATTTTTTAATGTAAGATGTATTTATATTTTTACTCTAAAATGTACCCATTGTTTTGTATATATGTTAGGGCCCAAAATATTAGTTTGGGCCGAGTATGGAGTTATTCTCGGCCCAGAAGGCCTTACGACAGGGTTCTCAGGGATCGGTTAGGTCGTGGGCTTCCAAATCCGGGTCGGTTATGCCATGCCACAAGACGAGTCGAATCCTGGTGCAATGAGGAGTCTCGGCAAGATCAATAACCCGGAAGTGAATCCGACTCCGACGAATAACATCACTGTGACCGAATCCGACGACGGCGATTCGTGAACTTTGTAAGAATAGTAACCTTGTCTTCAGGTTCGAGAGCCCAAGAGGCCGAGACATGTTCCTTTCTCGGCCGCAATCGTAAGACGCAGAAGTCAGCCGCGCACCCAACGTAACATCAACAAATTTACTCCTCGGCCGAGCTCAGCCGACGAGTTAGCACGTCCCGCATTCACCGAAGGACGTAGTTAGCTTATAGATTACTCGGTCTGCACGCCACGTAGGCTTGGTAGTTTTTAGGGTCAACAATATAATATGTACCAATTTTTTCATCTAAAACGTACCACCTTTTTTGTATAAAATGTATCAACTTTTTGTATGTAAATTGTATAGCATCAAAATTACCAATTTTTTTTATGTAAAATGTCATTAATATAAGTAATAACAAATAATGGGTTTTATTTAAATATAATATATCTTAATGATACATCATGTCATTAAGATAAATTATACTTTTTTATATAAGTATAATTTATTTTTTAATATTTTCAACCCATCAAATCATGGATTTTATTTAAAATCTCATTAATAAAAGTAACTACAAATATCAAATTTAATTTAAATTATAATAACTTACATAGAATATTGTATTAATTTCAGGGACCCCAATCAAAAACTAAAAATTAACAAGGTTTCAATTAAAGAACGTTGATAAATAGGGACCGCATCCAAAGTCACTCTTCTATTAATAGGTAGTTTAGATTATTATTATTATTACCAACAATTTTCTTTGATTACGGCAGGTAACAAAGTCCCCAGTCCTATAGTTATGTGTTTTCATATGACACATTCTACGTTCGATTCTTGGTGGTCGTAAATCATATGATGGTGGTTAGATGGATGCTGATATTCTTTTGTGAGTCTTTTTGGCCCTTTAAAGAGTGGACTGTTGTGGCGAATCCACCAGTTGATCCCTTTAAAAAAAAAAAAAAAGATAGTCATGTGTTTCCATCATGCACCATAACAATGGATTAAAAATCGCCGGTCAAGGTATTTCTATAAAGACTATCACGAAATTTCAATAATTTTATTTTAATGTTGATGAATCGGTTTAATATCTTTAAAATTTTGGAGATTTTAATGGAAATATCGTTTGAACTTCGATAGAATTTCGAAACTATTTTGGTGGAATTTCGATTCCTATTGTAGAAGAAACCAGAAAAAAAGTAGGGTTTTACAAATTTTTCCAATCTCATATCCTAACACTATGTTTGGATGAGAAAATTTAAAATTACTGAGGAATTTTAAAATGACGGAACTTGAAATGACAAAATTTTATTTTCTATAATTTGTAAATTTCTTGTTTGGTTAAAATCTAAAAAAACAATGAAATTTAAATACGAAATTTGATATTTTTAAACTTTCACCCATAAAAATTTGGAAATGACCCGTATTTATATGAAATTTAAACTTGGGAATTAGATGTCCCAAATTACAAGTTTTCTTCATACGGAAATTTTAAATTTTCTATGTTTATGAATTCAATTAAGAGAATTGGTACGTGTCAATTTATAAATTTCTACTTTTGTCAAAATTCGAAATTTATTTTTCTCATCCAAACATAGTGTAAAGAAACTTTGTGTTCAGAATTCCATCCCAAAAATAAGATTGAAGAATTTGATGACCTTCTTGAACTTCTGATTCTCGAGCTCGGTCTGAAATTCCGAATCAATTACTTACACTTATTTTCAATCCTAAAAAGTAAAAAGTATGAATCCTCAAGTGTTTTTGTTGTAGAATTTTGCTTTTAGGTTCTTCTTGAAAACTTCATTTTAAGAGTATATTAATACTTTTATTTTAACTTTTGGTTATAATTATCATAAATTAAAATAGTGATTATAATTCTATATAAAGTCTAAATTTGAATACGTTTCTAAATTTCTCAGTACACTTAATGGATATCTATACGAAGGCTTTCGGAGTTTAGGAATAATAATTTATGACATTCACTATTCAACTTCAGGGCACCATAGAGAATTGATATATGAGAATAATTTTTTTTATATAAAGATAATAACATTTGTGGGTCACTTCGTAATGGTTTAGTGGTATTACTTCACTTGTAAGGTTTTAAAAGACGCTAGACGCTAGTCGGGCGGCTGACTGGGGCCTAGCGCCTAGACGGCTAGGCGGATTTAAGTAAATCTATTGTATTTTGTGTAATAAGTGTTTGTTTATACTTAAAATATATATGTAATTTCATCATAAACTAGAAAATAGAATGACATATATATTATGAAGTATTGGAACATAATGAAAACACGGGGAGCAAACATATAATGTGTGTTTATTTAAGTGTTCAATAAGTCTCTTACAATTTATTGGAAACAATAAAATGCAAAATGAAAGTTATCTATTTTCTATCAAAGATAGTGCAATCTAGACAGGTGTCTAGGCGGGCTAGGCGGTCTAGGCGGGTGCCTTAGTAGGTCTAGGTGCCCTTTCTTAATTTTCAAATGCCTAGGCATTAATCGGGGCGGTGGCTAGCCGCCTAGCACCTATACGGGATTTTTAGAACAATGTTTGTGGATGCAAATTTTCTCCTCCTCGATCTTGGACGATTTTGCACCTACAAAACAACTAGCACCTTAGGTTAAGGCCAAACGCCTCACGCGCCCACGATGAATGGGGGGGCTTTGGCCGAAGAACCTCCGATGCCAAAGTTAGAATTTTAGAGAGAAATAGTGTTTAGAGTATTTTGGATTTTTGCCAAAGTGTTGGAATTGGCTTTTTTGGTGAGAATGAGAGTATATTTATAGGGATAGGAGGTGGCTAGGGTTTTTTGGGTTTAATTTAGGTTTAATTAGGAGTTACAAAATTGATTATTTGTATAAATGGGGTAATAAAATGGAGAAAAGTGAAAAAGGTTAGGAAAAGGGAGGTGGCCGACCTCTTAGTAGTTTTAGGTGTGAATGGGTGTTTTAATTGATAATTAAGGGATTGATTAGGTAATTAATCCCTTAATTAATCAATTTTTAGGGAATATGAAAGGAAAATATCATTTAGCTAATTGATTAGCTAAATAATGGAATGCAAAATATATAGAATAAATTAGGTTTTAGGAATTACCTTATAGAAAGGATTTGATGAAATAGACTTTAAATTGTTACCTATTTTGGGCACTTTTGACTTGGTTTAGGGATGATTGCCCGCTGCTCGCGCGTAGGAATCCCAGTATGCCTCAGGGGTATTTTTGTCCTCTTTTACCCAAGAATCCACGTGTCGCCTTGCGATTATTTTTGGCTCCACAATGTTCATTATAAGTAAGAGGTTTTAGGTTCAATTTTTGCCAAATGCTATTTTGAAACATATTATTGCTAATTCATTATGAGACTTAACTCACCTCTCCCTAGTGTAACTAATATCATTTGTTAAAAATAAAAATATTTGTGAATTAAATAATTAGTTGAACCACGTAGAAACCATGGAGAGAGAGTCTGGTTTGAAAGCGAGTACGTGTAGCATTCATCTAGAAAGAGGGAAAAGAAGTCCTAAAAAAAATGACCAAAAAAAAAAAAAAAAAGAAGAGAAGTTCTAACAAAAATTTAAAGACCAACTTCTCAGAGCTATTAAGTGCTTCAACTCCTACGAATTCAATCAAGGATAATGTAAAATTACAGATAATACATATCTAAACTACGGATTAATAAAATCTTTTTTATCAATCAAAATAAGGTGAAAAGACTAATTAATATTCTATCAAAATAAAAAAATTAAGGGTAGTAACGTAATTTTACAAATTAAAGCCTTTTTATTTTTTATTTAAGCATCACTTATAGATGATTTTAACATCTATAATTTAAAAAAATTAAAAATTAAAAAAATTAAATCTCTCTTCCTCTCTTCCCACTACCACGTTCTCTCTCACGCTCTTTCTCTCTCCTTCAATTTTAAGAACAAAAATAAAGCATTTCACACACCCATGTGTGGACGTATGCTAGTTGGCTATAAAAAGACAAAAAAAAAAAACACTTATATATAAGCCCGGACAAACATGATCATGACCGTAAAGAGGATAGCGGCTTATAAATAGTTTATTGTATGCTATAAACAATATGATTGTAAAATAATATATTAATGGAGTCATTAGTGTGGACATCATGTGAGCATAGAAAAAAAAAACTTATATGCTAAACTATCATCTAACTCGTGAATAATAAAAAATAGGATAGCTACAGTCGTAGCAATTTTCTTATATAAATAGGATATAGGCGGTTCGGAGAAGAGCATGTGAGAGAATTACAAGAAAGAGCACAGAGAGAGAGATCATATCCCAATTAACATGGCAGCATTACTACCAAGGTCTTTTGCTCTGAAATCAAACAACAACCAAAAATACTTGCGCTACATACATCAAAGTTACGAGAATCTTCATGGGATTCTCCAATTCTCCGAAGTGGATGACAAGAGCCCGAACGCAAAGTTCCAAATGGAGCCTGCGTACGGCGGTTACGAAGGACTCGTGCATATCAAATGCTGTTACAATAACAAATACTTGAGAAGGCCAAACGAGCACCAGCATTGGATAGTAGCCCAGGCTGACCGACCAGAGGAAGATCTAAACCATTGGACCTGCACACTGTTCGAGCCTCGGGTTGTCCATGCAGACAACAAAGCAGTCCTCCGAATACTCCACGTGCAACTCGGGCACTATGTAATGTCACTCACTTCTAACGACTTCCATCAATGTCTCTTTGCAGAAAGAGCAGACCCCAACCCCCAAAACGATTTGGATGTGTGCACAGTCGTCGACTTGGATCCACTTGCGCTACCAAACACTTTTGTGCTGAAATCAAACATCTGCAATAAATACTTGCGCTACATGCTTGATGAAGAAAACCAAACTCATGAGATTGTCCAATTCTCCGGAAAGGATCCTAAGAGTGAGTACTCAATCTTCCAAGTAGAGCAGGCAAACAATCAAGACGACCAAGATAATCATTACGTGCATATCAAATGCACTGTCAACAACAAATACTTCAGAAGGATGGACAAAGACAAGCAATTGATCATGGCCGCGGCTGACCAACGAGACGAAAACAAAAAGAGTTGGGCTTGCACATTGTTCAAGCCCGAGCATGTGGGTCAAGCCGGCAACAACAACAACAACGTGCTCTGCCGGTTGCGCCACGTTCAAAGTAACCTCTACACAAGGCCGTTCGTTGAGAATAGATTCGAATTACGCCTCAACGGCGAAAGACCTGATCCCCAAGGAGTTGATGTCTACACAGCCATTCGCAGCGTTATATGATCATCATGATCATTTGATGTTTGTGGGTAACATCTCTGGAAACCCTCACGAGACTTCACTTGTCCTATTTGGGTCACCTATGGGTTTAAAAGGCTTGTTGCATGCACTGAATGCAATCGTGTTTCCAGCATTAGTTTTCATCACTACTTTTTCCCCTTGTTTTGGTTTTTAAATTTCGCTATAATTCATGGATTTATAGCAAGAAAAATAAACTCATGTCCTATCTCCGTCTGTGGATAGGTCATTTGTATGTGTATGATTCACTAGTTCTCGTAATGTAGTCCGTGTATTTGTTGCAATAGTAATAAACATTGGTAATTTAGATGTCTAACTACTATGAATGTTTAAAACTCAACTAAGTTAGAAGACATCAACATCTCAGAGCTATTAATTGCTCTAAGTCCTATGGATTCAATCAAGGATAATGTAATATCTTACAAATAATACACATTGTCTAGCAGCTTAAAGAATAGTGAAAAACAAGTAATATCTCACAAATGCATTTATAACAACATATTTAACACGAAAACTAAAAAATTAGTGAAAAACAATAGTAGTAACGTCCAAAAAATTGCCAAAATGAGGTTCAACTTAAAGAATATCAGCATAAGTTCTACATTAATTTTGAAAACCTAACAATGATGCGAAGGTGAAAACAAATAGATTAATGACGATTTTTATACCATTTTGCAAAACCTACAAAAAAAAACCGTGATTGATCACCCTTTTTGTGAAAATGCAAAATTTTTTGTTTTCGCAAAAAAATTAAAATTAAAATTTGTGAGCATTTGAGAAAACTTTATAAAGCATTTGAAAGCAATTTTACTAACACTTTGCTCGACGAAATGTGTCGTTGGGTAAAGGACTCTAAGTTGAAGAACTTATATTTCGTCGGGTAAACCTTTTCAAAATACGGGCCATTGTTTCCGTTGGGGTCAAATATTTGCCTGACAAATTTATTCTTGCCCTCTGAAAGTATTTTGCCGCACAAAGTCTTTGGCTAGACCCTAATGGTGACTAGCTCTATCCGACCAACTGGAGTTTTTATCGAGCAAAACCACTTGACTCGACGAAATATTGTTTGTTGGGCCAAATTTCGTAGAGCAAATAGTATTTTCAGGTAGCAAATGAAGTTTGGCTTCAAAGTGTCACCTGTCTTGTAAATTTGATAGTTGATAATTTCAAAACTTAAATGTATTTCTTTGCTTTTTTTTTATATGTCATTTCCTCGTTATAGAGGCTATTAGTTTCGTGAAGTTGTCATTGTCTATTATGTTGAAGTCCATTTTGTTTCATGCAAACCTCCCAAATTCTATCGCCTAAAACTTAAGACATTGATGTAGGTTAACATATATATTACAAGTGCCCTTTTAATTATACCCCCATCCTCTAGATGTAGCTCTTATGAAACGAAGTCAATTACATGTTACATAACTTTTCATTGCTAACAAAAGACTCCACGCCTATAGTCATATGTTGTCATGTTACAACTATTTTTAATCAAAGACTTCACATCCATAACCATGTGCTTTGTGAAAGACTACAACATTTCTCATCTAAAGTAAAACCTTCCTATAAACAAGGCTACAACTGGAACACAATAATGTTGAAGAGGCAATACACAATAGTTGGCAAGTAACGAAAGTGATAGTATTTAAATTTTGTTGGGAGGGGAAGAAACTTAAAAGTTTGAAAATAACGGTAGCCAAGGATAAGAAAAATGGACTCACCATCACCTACCCTCTAGCGAAGTTCAAAGCGTCTTTATGCTCATCACCTTATTTATCACTGTTAGATAAGTTTTAATTTTGAGATTTGTACCTATTCACTACATAAATCTCGAGATTTAAACTCATCTAACGGTAATAAATAAGGTGGTAAGTATACACTATAATTTATAATGGTGAGCATACATTATAGTTTATAGTGGTGAGCAAAAATGCTTCTATAGAAGATTAAGCGAGTACAACTATACACCAAGACCAAGACATTTGACCACTACAACAACCTGAGCTATTAATTATAATCCTTCCACACTTTGACGAATCCAATTCCCAAATAACAGGTTTCTAAGTAAATTTAAAACAAAATCAGTGTTAGTGTATATGAATCAATATCTTCCATGAAGGAGTCTTGGTCATTTAGATGTGGAAGATGCAATACACAGCATATATTCAATCAATATTTCTCATGGACCAAATGAATTCACATGTTACCAAAATTTTAATTTCTAACAAAAGACCTCACACTTATAGCCATATGTTTTATCCCTCGTCATGTGCTTTATGAAAGTTGGCAATTGGTCAATTAATAGCACTTCCTAAAAGAGATTAAATTGAAGGCAAAGGCATACCCAATCTGTCGATTTGTTCGTGTAACTAGCTATAATATGGTACAGATGAGTTATGTTTCAAATACAAAACCTTCCTCCGAAAAGGCTACTGATGGAACAGAATATGTCGAAGAAGCAAAATACACAGCGGTTGGCAGGTAATAAAAGTTACAGTATTTAAAGTATTTTTTATTATGGAGGGCTAGTACCATGGTGAAAGTTAAGCACCTTTGGGCCCTATCCTTACCCACATATGAACTCCCCGGTGGAAGAGGATCCGGTTCGGATCTCTTCCATAAAAGGTCCAGTATCAAGTGAACTGGGTTATTGAAATTTGATTCAACGGTTTCAAACAAAGAATCTCCCTAAAAGTTATAATAATTGCAACCGTTTGATCAAATTTCAACTATCCAGATCACTTAATCCTAGGCCTGCCTTTGATGGGAGAGATCCGGACCGGATCCTCTTCCCTCCCCGGCCACCCCTTTCTCCTAAACCTTTAGGGAGGGCGCGCAATAGTGGAAATTAAGTACCCTTAGCCCTCACACAATTTTGAGGCTCCCCAGGGCCTCACCCCATTCCGTCTCCCCTCAAAACTCCACCTAACCATTGGAAAAAAAATCTTTTTTTTTATTATTATCGTATTAAGTCTATAATGAAATGGTTTAGAGTAATACATACCATCCTTATATTTTTGTGAAAAAGAAGCCTTGTTTTATATGCTATAAAAAGTCATTCTACTTAATATTAAGTAAATAGTGTACAGGGAATCTTATAATTTTTAATTCTAATAAAATTTGAATTACCAATAAAGACTTTTTACAACCATCACAGGGTGACCAAGAAATTTTAACCCTGTATTCCATACGATATGGCTTGAGTTCAATTAAAAAAATAAAAACAAAGACTTTTTACAATGTGGTTTCACATACGTTACAAAAATTTGAATTCTATAACAAGTCTTCGAATTCACATGTTTAAGTCGTTTTATAATCTTAACCATAACACACATGCTACTCAAAATTCCTAATACACGATCCCATACCTACATCAATTTGCTTGTGGAAAGTTGACGGTTGCTAATTGAATTGTACTTACGTCCTTGATAACTATTTTTATGGAGACCACAAGAATTCGTTACAAAATTTTAAGGGTAATGTTAGGAAGATCAAAATTTTAAATTAAATTTTGTAAACCAAATAATGTGGATATTGATAATTGGATTACTAGTTAAGTGCTGATTAACATGTTTATCACCTATTGGTGACACATCTTGTAATTTGCAAATTTAGTTTGAAAGTAACATTATCCAAACTTTAATATCACACCTATAGCCATATGCTTTTACTCCTCATTTTAACTACACACTCACATCCTACAAACAAAATTTTTAACAAAGGATTCCACACCTATAGCTATGTGGTTTATGAAAGTTGACAATCGCTCATTTTACCCGCACTTAGAAGATATTGAAGAAAAAGAAACACCCGTCAGTGTGTTCAAACATGTAATTATAATCTTTTATAGATGGGATACAAGTTTGAAAGTCTTAATGTATATGCTATAAAAAGTCTTTATTTCTCTTATATGAATTTTGGCTTTTTTTTAATTATATAATGAGAATTATATTCACAGAATTAGCAGAAGAGGTTAAAAAAGATACAAATTAACAAATCAATTAGACAGCTATTTTAACAAATCTTGCGTCACACCAATGAGATCATACATGTTCACATGGATAGGAAAGAGATAGGAAACTGAGATTGAGGAAATAAATGTTAATTAAGGACCATAACATATATATATTACAAGTCCCTATTTAATTATACTCCCATCCTTTAGATGTAGCTCTCAAGAAACCAAGTCAATTACATGTTACAAAACTTTTAATTGCTAACAAAAGACTCCACGCCTATAGACATACGCTGTCATTTTACAAATATTTTTAATCAAAGACTCCACATATGTATCCATGTCCTTTGTGAAAGACTACAATATATTTCTCATTTAGTTGCACTTTCGGTCTCTAAATCTAGTTCTTCTAGAGACCAATCCCTTGATGGACTTGACATTAAATCCATAATTATAACAAAAGACTCCACACCTATATATATGTACGAGAGCATTTTTGCTCACTACCATAAACTATAGTGTATGCTCACCATACACCTAATTAATTGACACGTGTCATTTCACTTAATCTTGGTTAATTTTTTTTCAAAATTGAAAAACTAACATTTAATGTGAAAGTTAACTCGAGTTAAGTGAAATGACACATGTCAATTGATTAGGCGTATGGTGAGCATACATCATAGTTTATGTTGGTGAGCAAAAATGCTCCCATATAGGTACTATGCTAGTTGACAATCAAATCTGTCATTTAACCGTAATTCATTAAAGAAAAGAAATTGAAGGGAAAGGCACACCCAATCTGTTAGTGTTTCACCCGTTTAGAAACTTGTACAAGTTTGACATATACAGGTGGAGTGCAACATTTTATTAGTGTGATTTTAATTTGGCTTATCGGTCAATATGTAATATGTAATTAGTTAAAATATTTTCATGTAAATTTTAAGCCTATAAATAGGCACTCTAATAAAAAGGAAGACACTTAGATTTTCTTCTTCTAATCACTATTTTGTTTTTCTCTATTCTCTCATATTCTATG